TTGACCAGTAGAGCTAAAAATCAGGTCCATTTACTAAAATTTTGAAAATATACATTGATTTTTACTGTGCGGTCATGGGATTCACGGAGCAATCACTTGACGTTTTATGACACTAGGTGACGTGACAACCTGATTCCAGACCTGTTAAGCTTTTTCACAGTTCTAAATATCTTCATTTCTATAGACTTTTCATGTCTTTTTCTTACTAAAAAATTTAAATAACTATATCAAGGCATGTTACATTTTTTTTCTAAAATGTATTTTGTGGCGTATTAGTGAGATATTAAAAACAATGTCTATACAGTTTAACGATTAGGTAATGCTTGTCTTTATGGACACTCAAGTGTGCTACCAATAATTATGATTGCGCTAATCAGTTGAAGAGGAAGATTGTGCTAAATTTTGAGTGTGCTAATTTTTGTACATTTATGGTGCATTAAATGAACAATCAGCAAAACTGAATGTTTGTTCTCTCAAACAGGGATATGAAGGAAAACTATGTTTTCTTTCACTACTTTTAGATAAAAGGTATGTTTAAATCAACAGAGGATGCTTACTCCTCCTAGGCACCTGATCCCACCTCTGAAATTTCAAGGGGTCCGTGTTTTATGTCCTGTTCACAGATTTGTACCGTTTGTAGATTTTTTTTTAGATTGATCACTGTTTGTTATCTTCAACTTTTTCATCTATGGTCTATGTACCTAATGATGCGTTAAATATTGAGCCAGTATTGTTTGTGTCTACATAATCAAGGACCTCTTACTGTCATCTGGCTGGGGAGCTGCCAAAATAGCACTGTGTTTTTTCTTGACTTCGTCTACATTGCCGGCTATTTTGTCTATCATTCCACGAATCTCTTCCACCTGAAAAAGACAGTCAAATACAATCGATGGACTTACATCATAAGATTTCTTGAATCAAACCCTCTTTATATTCTTGCATTTTCTTTAGAATGCCTATAGTATAACAAAAGAATAAATAGAAATTCTCTATCTAATCTAGACAACGCATCATTGCAATGTTTTATCTGATTAAACGTAAATGCAGATTGAGTAGATCTATGTAACTCCCTGTTTCCCAATGCTGCATCAGAACATGCCTGTAATTAAGTCTGAGATGTTCCCAAAAAAAAAGTCATTGTTGCAATTATGTCAATCTCAAGCTCCACTTTTTGAGAATGAGTAGGAGTAAAAGAACACACAGGAAAGTCTCTAGTTGACTTTTGATCTTTGAATTATCTGTAGTCAAATCAATTTTTTTTTTTGACCCAGAAGCACTAAACAAGTAAAGCCTGGATGTGTGACAATGCATTGGCCGAGGAAATTTGTATAAAGATCAATTATCAAATTGACTTTTGAGCCATTTTTTTGGTCAAGGTCACTATTCTAATGGCTCTGATGAGCTTAATATAATTATTCGTTACAATAAATATATCAGTAAAAATTAAAGATTATCACAGATCTGCAACTTACTAAACATAGTGTCTTGATCTTGATCACCCAAAATAAATGCTTTTAAACAAGTACTTTATTTACTATTGGTACAAGCTTTGCATAAATTTTTATCTGTGTTGAATAGTCAATGTACTAATTTGGGGTTTGGTTTGAACATTACATAACATATAGGAATGGATTGATTATGTAAGGAATTGTAGTACACAAATAGTATATTTCAGGGATGGTGTCTATAGGTACTACAAGTACTGTCATATTTGTTCCCAGCTCTGATGTACTGTCAAAGCTGTCTGAGCAACAACAAACTTCCTGTCATATGTAATTTTAAAACACAGGTAATCAAAGATTATAAAGCCCACTTTGACAAATGTTATCTAAAAATACGGCAAATTCTCACACCAAACAAATGTTCTGGTACTGTGCATCCCTAGATACAACATCTATACACTACATAAGTAATCAAAGATTACAAAGCTCACCTTGACGAATATTATCTATAAGTATGGCGATACAACATCTGTACAAGTTTGGTCCAGGTAGGATCTTTAGATACTTGAAAATGGACCTGCTTCAAAAACCTCAACTGTTCAATCACCTTGTAAATGCAGGTCAGATTCAATTTCAAAAGTATGCCTGGTAATGTACATACCTAGTTTCATGCATCATCAATGCAAGTTTAGTCACCCCATAGGGCTGATAGTTACTTGGGAATAGACAATTTAAAACATTATCCTGTTTATTAACCTGGAAAATGTAGGTCAGATCCAGCATCCAAAGCAAGTCAGGTAGTGTACTTCCCTTGACGCATACTCCATATAAGTTTGGTTCAGGTAGGGCTTGGGAATGAGAACTGCTCCTAAAACTTTAACAGGGATGCCAATTCTGACACAGAGGCCAATGCTGGGGTGGGGATGTTTTTTGCATAAGCTCATCTCAAATTTTAAACATTTCCTTTGAGTTACTTAAAGCCAGTTTGGCTGTATTATGGTCTGTCACCACCAACCCAAGGCCTCAGATATCTGGTATGAGCATTCAAATGCTTAGGTAAATTTAAGAATAATATGATTTTAGAAAATTTTCAATACTTAGGAACTGATTAGGATTCACAAGATTGACAAGAACATAATAAACATTGCATCAAACCCAACTCAAACACTGATTGAAGAAATATGATAGTTTGTCCCACATAAGCATTTCCAATCCATTTTTGAAATTAGCAAATAAATTTAGAACCGTCTTGAAGGAAAATACACACTTTATTATTTAAACAAAACTTTTGACTTTTCCTGGTCAATTTTTGTCCGATTGGGTACGTTAGAAATTACCCTATCCAACTGTAGACAGACTGGATATACAACTTCAAACACTTTTAAAAGTGTACAGACATATGCAGGGGGTATGCTTCATTGATTGAAACCTAGTTTGAAGATCAAGGTACTTGTGTGTTTTGAGATACGGTGCCAAAAATGATATTGTTGGTACTTTTGGTACAGACTATTGTGAGTAATTCTGTTTTAAAAGCTTCTCACATATTCAGATGGTCAGTATCTAAATAAATGTTAAGGTATTGTTTGATATCTATTTAATGTTTGTATTGTACAATATATACTAAACGAGCATCCCTGAACCAACAGATTAATTAAATTAAACAAGAGATCAAAAATAGGTGGATATTTTTTTATGAAACCTGTTTAAGAGGAAGGTAAATAAAACTGTGTTTTTCATAAGGAACTATTTGGCATATCTGTGAAGTAAAAGTCAAGCTCATCTAAAATACTGAGCGGAAATGACCCTGACACATAATCATGCTAAATATGGAAATCTCTGTCTATATGGTTGCTGGGATGGAGAATACACATTTTCTTCAATAAAGCCAATAACTTCAACAGGTTTACCATGACATCTTGAAATAAAACAAAACCGCAATGACCTTGACTGTGATGTGTCATCTTGAGAGTTTGTGAACCATATCAATATATGGACCCAAAAGGAATCCATAATGACCTCAACCTTGACTGAGAGGACAGATCACAACCTCTGACCCCAATATAAAGAGATTTGAATATAATGGTCCCCAAAATTTATCAAGAAATGAAATGTGATCTTCACATCAACTTATCAAGACATGGTCATTGACACTGCAATGGGAAATTGGTGAATAAAATGTCATCTATAAGCTCAAAAGAAGTAAGAAAGAGGTAAAAATCTCTAACAACAGGCATCACTGACTTCTGTCAAACTGGACAATGGCATGATCAATGGAAAACAGCACAGCAAATTCTTAGTGTACACAGATGGGAGCCCAGATTCCCAGTATAAATAAATCACCTATTTTGCTATAGATCTAGATTTGTTGCTGTGAGAGAGAAAAATACTTAGAAATGTCTCACTATGGATCATTTAGATCACACTCTTTACGAAAACAATCTCATAGTTGTCTCTATGAGAAAACACAATCTCAGCATTGTTCCTCTGGGGAAAAACAATCTCAGAGTTGTCCCTCTGAGTAAAAACAATTTCAGCTTTGCACCCGTTGGAAAAATAATCTCAAAAATGTTACTCTTGATAAAAACAATCTCAGCTTGGCCCCCTTTGGAAAAACAATCTCAGAGTTGTCCCTATAAGAATTATTTTTTTTTTTGAATGAGTAAGAATTTAATAAGCAAATCAACAGAGTACATAGGATAATCAGTACAGATACTGCTACTACTTAATAAGTCATTTTAAAAGCCACATAAAAAGGCAAGTGATTGGGGGGGGGGGGGGGGGAAGGAGGAGGGGAGGGAGAATTACACAAGTGTTTGAAGTGACTTGACAAATCTGTTACATTCTTGGAATAATCCTCTTAATGGTGTAAAAAAATATGGAGATTGGAGACCTGGTAGTGAAAAATTACTTAATCTTCAGTAGGTACTCAATCTTAGTACTAATAAACTAAATTAAACAAGTTTAAAGAATGTTGCCCTAGGCAATGACATTTTCTTTTTATGTAATAACATCACTGCCAACCTTTCTGATAACTTACTATCTAATTAAACTTTAATATTATTAGAATTGGGGGGAAAATTCACTTTTTTTCATGCCCACACAATGTCTATGCTTTTTCTTATGAAACATTGATTGTATTTGATGGGCCTTTGTGGTAGCTATCTTGTATCAGGGTCATGCAGCTTGAAATCCCGGTATGTGCTTGCCTTCTGTTGAAGAATGTGGGTGTTTCCACAATACACTGATTTTTTTTTAATCTTGCAGACTGCTGATGTCTATATATTAGGGTGGCCTAACTTAAATTGATTTTTGTTCATCCTTCTAATTTTGTTAATTTTCTTTGGTCTACCACAGCAGTAATAATTTAAGTAGTAAACTTAATTACAATAATTGATAAACTGTCACTTAAGAGTTGCCTCTGTTTGTATACAGTGTTATTTTATTTCCCTAGAGATTGCCCATCTCCTGGAACCCAAGTTCAAAGTTTTTATGTGTATACCCTTTCACTGAGCTTTCTATACATATATGCATAAATACAAGAATTTGTCATTGAAGTTTTGGTGTTAATTTAGAGAAAATGGTCTGCCCAGAATTGTAGTGAAGTTGTGTTGATTCATGAACAAATTCCAGTGAAATTGTAGCCTACTGGTGTAGGATGCAATGTCAGGAAAATTGATTTTTCAGTCCGTTTTATTTATGGTTGGTTGGAACACTGGTTCGGCAGTCTGCTATTGATTGTAGCAGGCTGATCAATATATATAAATAATGTATCTTTATTATGTAGCTATTTCAATGAACTATCTCTTCTTACATCAGTTTGCTACAAGAGCTCAGGAAAAACAACAATCACCGCTTCAATCACAGGGAAATCTCCAGCGAGCCAATAAAATAGAACTTCTGCTGCCCCTGCTAGCCTCCTCTTTATTTATTCAGCCATTCTCGCCAAACTGAGTTAAATGTCACAGTAATCAACCTTTGCCTATTGTATGTAAACATTTACAATATCGACTTCCTTTTAGAGAAGTCCATACCTACAGGGACCAAATTCAAGGTCACTGAACGGAGCATACTTAATAGCTTTGGCTTGCATCTGTCCAGCCTTTATAGACACAATTTTACAAAGTCATAACTCATCTAGACTTTCCCAATCTTTTCCTTCCATTAATAATTGATCAATTCATACACCTGTCTATCTGTCTGTCTGTCAAATGCATGAGATTTTTATCTCACTAATCTAGCAAATTAAATAATATATTGATAAACTTGTAAGCCTGTCTCTTTAGTAGCTGTAAATCATTGCAATTTTTTTTTTATATCACAGCAGGCTAAATGAAAATATACATAAGTAGTTTACAGGGAACAAAGATTTCACATACATTTTATAAGATGAAATCAAGGGACTGGGAGTGGGAAGGGGGTGGGGCGGAGTGAGAGAGGTGATATTAATACAGGTTTACAAACTTAAGTATCTTTTCTCTTGAACCCTTTATAATCATGGCCATGGCAGGGAAAATTTTATAAAATTCTGAGCAATGAAAGAGTGAGAGTGAAGGGGGGATCCAAACATATTATGTGAATTTATTTCAAGATTTTTTATTTATCATACATGTACTTGCCATATGACATTTTGATTGAGATAACACTTTTATATCGGACATATATGTTATCAGCTATGAATAATTTTCTTCTTTTTGTTACTTTATTGTGATTATATATACACTGTAGATATTTTTCTTCCTTATTTTATTCTTGTTGTTCAATGATCTCCATAAGGAAGAATAGTAATATCCTGCCACTTAAATTTACTCATGGTTTAAAATCTTTAAAAATAATTGATAAGTTTTTAGCTCACCTGAACTGAAAAATCAAGTGAGATTCTTGATTGAAGTTTGGCTTGAAAATGTATAATTATGTCTAGCAATTTTTTCCCTTATTAATTTTTTTGCAACCATGTAAACATTTTTAACCCAGACTTAAAGCATTCTTAGACAAAACCAATTCACCTTAGACAATTATTTAATACATTAAACATTCAAGCAGAAATTATAATAGAAAAAAAAAGGTTTCTGAATAATCAATTTGCACTTTTCCTCATGGAATTGGAAAAATTTACCATCATATATTTTATACAAGAATGAACAAGTTTATTTGATTTTCTTCCTTCAAAAACATCCAAGGATAATGATGCATTCTAGCCAGCTCTATATTTACACTACAGATATTGATTTTTCACTCAAAACTTCCATTCAAAGAAACTGCCATGCATCTACAAAACATCAGAATTATAACCATGAAAGTCAACTTTATTTGCAAATTACCACCATTGGTGCTCCCAAATGTGCTTTGTTTTTATCATATGCGTCTTTTGATAAATCAATAATTCTATGACATATGCAGTGTTCCCTTTGCATTGTCACAATTTTGTCAATCAAATTGCACAACTTTTCGATTTTTGTTTGACTTTCCTTAATTGACAATATACACACACTTCCCATATCACATATACTATTTCCCCCCTTTTTTCTGTGTCTGCAGGTTTTCCCTGGACTACTTTTGGACATTAGATCTGTGTTCACAGTACTAATTGGTTAAGTGCACACAGCTTTAAATGGCATTTCCAGCAATATTACCAAATATGCCCATTAGTATGGATTTTTCTCTCTCTCTCTCTGGATCATCAAACACTAGAAGCTTGTTGGTAGTGTTTAAACAATGTGCTTATGTTGATTTCCTATACAAATAAAACACCAACAAAATCACAATACACCAGGTACATGTGTATTCTCATTGGACAAGGAAAAGTGTTTGGTGACGTTTCTATTATTCAAATTAACTGAAATCTACTTTGGAAGTAGGAACTCCTTTGAGAGAAAATAATGCATTCAGAAAGATAGTAAGACACAATGAACTTTCCACACTCTAAATACTTGACATGTCAACCAGTCATCTTTTCTTCAAGATGCAACACATGTATTTTGATACATTCAAAGTACATGTATCATCTTCACAGATATACTTCAACAGGTTTTCACTGACATTGTTAATTCTTCCTACTCTGTAGATATGCTTGAAAACACCCAAACAAATCAAAATTAGGCCTTTTTTCAATAACCTACAAAACATGGGATTTTCTCATAACTTTTAAATGAATAAGACAAGGTTAACAGCTTAGAATAAAGTGACTTTTAATAATAAGTTAGATGTTATCTGCAGCTTTCATATAAATTTTTTTTTTTAAAAATGCATAAATCTTGCAATAAAAAAAATCCATGTAGGATCCCAATCCAAAAACTTTATACATTCAAATAAACACAGAAGGGAAATGATGACATAACATACATGGTACTTAGGGGAATTTCCAACTATGCTTATTTAACTTTTGACCTTGTGACCTTAGATGAACTGAAGGCCATGACACACCATCCATGCAAAATTAAACATCAGTGTAAAGTGTTATATTAATTAATTGGATAAGGTATATGTGTAAATGGCAAGTTAGAGAAAATTGTCCTGTTTTAAACAACAAATTGCAAGAATATATACTAATGATTGATGGATGGGCATGGGGAATCCTTTATATCAACACTTTAAAATACTTTGTACATTTACAGTGAGTGCTATGGAACTCATATATGATACACAATTTGAGATAAACAGAGTTTTAGCATTTAATTAAAAGGGTGTTAATTAGTTGCAATTTTTCTTTTCTTCTTTGATATCAAAATTTCAAAGTCTATTGAATAATATTATGTGTATAGAGATATCAAACTGTTATTTACAAATTCTCAGTATAAATTAACACTTTATAACCTATGTCTCTTCAGTTCTAAGTAACATACTCCAAAAAAAAGTACTCACAAGTAGTAGTAGAATGTATATGTCTAGTATCTGGGGGGATTTTTGGGTTTTTTTTTAAATAAATACTCTTCCTTTCATCAATTGTAATTAAAGGTTAACTACAATATTATGCATAATTGTATACTGCACAGCAAAGAAGAATTCAATCAGTAAATCAGTTAAGTTTGTTTTCTCAAAAAGGGAGGAAGCAACCTCTTAGTTATTCAACATCATTTTGAAATCCATTAATTTAAATCTCAGTAAATCTCAGTAATAACTTAAAATACTTAAATATTGATGTTTAAGTCTCTCTGATGTGAAAACAAAATGTAGACCTAAGGATAAATCAATCCATTTTTGCTATCTCCTACAGTGAAACTTAAACTATCATGTTAATTTTTCACAAATATACATATATAACATCTGCACATTGTACCCAAGAACTGTTCTACAATAATTGTGTAGATTAGGTGGCAATTTAATTAAAACAATGGATATTCAATTATTTATCTATGTTTTTTCCCTAAACATAGGACATAGGAAAGGTGTAAATACCGTGCACTAAATGATACGAGCGTTTCCTACAGCCATAGTATTATGTCCTCACTTGTGCAACACATTGTATGTACTTGCTCAAAGGTTGAGAGAGACAGCCACAGTAAACAGCAGCTGCCACCAAATCTTATCTGACAATTTCTCACCTGTTCAAAAAACATGTCCATAAAACCACCAGGTGGTTCCATGCTGACTGTGTGTACATCATCTTGTTCTTCATTGTCACTTTGAGCCTAAAATTACATAAGCATTACATTTATTACAATTAATGAATTAAAAATTCAAAAATTGAAATAAATATGGCAAAAATTCATACCTGTTGACAATGTCACATGTTTAGAACTGTTAGAGCCACTGATTGCAATTTAATTCATGTCATAATATTAAATACCATGGCTGATTATAAATCAATAATTTGTTTTGTGCTGTTTACATATGGATAATACAGGTTAGCTGATTTATGTAATGTTACTGAAAGATAGAGTGGTCTTAAAATTTAATTTTAAAGATATTACCCAACATAGCTGAATCATTACTAAACACACATGTGTCATATACTGTGTAAACAAATCGACATGTGGCAATCCATTCTATTTTTAACTTTGTAAATAATTTAAGCATTTAAAAAAAAATCTAAAATATTCCCAAATCCAAACACCAACCTTCATTAAAAACAAAATTCTCATACATTATACAAATTAAGAAACTGTTAAACTTTGTAAACAGAAGCACTTACTGAATTAAGAAAGGGGCGTTCACCCTTTATTTTGGTCCTATCATTGCCGATTTCGATATAAACAATTGACACACAGTTATTTAAGCTTAAGAAGTGAGTAAATACACATAAATCTACATTATTCGTCACAAAGATCGATCGACAACTAAACCCTTCTGTCATGAAACATGTTCAATGATCCCCACAACAGTGACTGTATCCCAAATAGCCATCAGCAACATATCAACCTACCGCTTTGAGAGCTGCTAAACGATCTTTAGTCATATCTCAGTCACCAAATCAACTACAAGACTTTTTCTGACTTCATAAATGTTAGCCACTTCTCCCCTTTTCACACAACGGCAGAGACTTTTGATAAATCATTAGCAATCAATACAATTTTAATTTTCGTATATCTTCTACTACTGAGTCAGGCCGCTAGGTTGCGCATGAAATACCTATTTCCGGTTGTTGTTTTTTTTTAACGGCATCGTGTAAAATAAGTTCAAGCTAGACCGTCTTCGTTTTAGGAATTAAAGTGGAGGGGAGAGGTTTAATCATTAATCCAAAAAAAAAAAATGTAAAGGTCGCCACATTTTTAAGGATATCAGACATAAATGAACAGAAGCATATCTCAGCACCAACAAAAGCTCATCTTCGGTAAACAACAGTATCAAAATTGCATAAAACGGGTCAAAATGACATAATTTTATTATTGATATGACAAATATGTGTAACTTTTTAAATATGAATGAATTGTGATTCGGAAAATTACCAGGGTGGGGAGATATAGCTACCTAGCAAGTTTCATTAAATTCTGTGCACCCTTCTTGGAGCTATCATCCCTGAAATGTCAAATTCTCCTGATTCGACAATTTCAGTATAAAAATATTTAAAAAGTCTTCCTGTGAAACTACCCTTGATTTTTTTTCTGAGACTTACATGTATAAATAAAAAATATGTCTTCTACAAACTTTCATTAAATGTTCCAATCAAAACAAGGCCATTGATACTATAAATAGAACATAAGGGCGATATACATTTTTTTAAACCATAAATGAATAAATAAAAAAGAAAATAAATAAATAAATAAATGCAAAAAAGCTTTATAACAATTTGTGCTCCTATGTGGGAGTTATGGCCCCTTGAATGTTAAATTCTGATTATTCTTGCATTTTTTGACTTCTTGAAATAGAATTTCTTGAGAAAAAATACCAGAATTGTGGAACTGTACAGTCAAAATCAAATGATAAAGATCTTTATGTCTACCATATTTCATTAATATTTGATCTCAAATGTTGGAGTAATACCGGTAGCTCCTAAAAATATAAATTTGTTATTTGTGTAGTTTTGGCTACGTTATTTATTTGAAAATTATATGATGAAACATGAAAATTGCTGAAACGGAAATGGTGAACTAGACAAAATCTATGTATTTATTTTAGCAAATTCCATTGTTCTTTGATAACCTATTTAGGGAACGTTACCTCAAACTGGCAAAGATTGGTTCCTAGTCCAGACAAGTATTGGAATTTTTTTTTAAATTGGCTACAGCCAGGTGAGCGATTCTGGCTCCTAAGAACCTCTTGTTTTTATGCAAAGAAATGTGTGGGGTTTTTAATGTAAATAAAGCAAGTTCAAGAAGCAAACTTGAAAATAATTTACTCTGAAGTTTTTCTGATTCTTCAATATCATAAAGTGAACGCCATCCCCAACAACTAAAGCATTTTTTTTTACCTAACGAAAGTTGTGTACATCTTTATAGGTTGTCTAAGTTACACAGGCGACCTATTGCTATCTGTTTTTTGTCTGTCGTTGTCCATCGTGCATTTGAAAATTGTCAGCTTCTTCTTTGAAACTGCAGAACCAATTTCAACCAATTTTGGCACAAAGCATCTGACGGGGAACAAAATTATGAACTTCATAGTCCTTGTTCTCCCCCCCTGGGCCTGAAGGGTGGGACTGAACCATCAAAACTGACGCAATTTCTAAAACTATTCTCTTTTCTTAACTTCTAGACAACAAGCAGTCAAACTGTTAGTCTGATTGTAATTAGCATTGAGCCCTCTACCAAACTTGTGAAATTCATGACACCAAGGTCAGGGTTTCGGGTGTTAGAGCGGGACTCTATACAATGTATATCATATAAGGTGTGGAAAATGCATTAATTATTTGAAAATTATCTTCTCTCCCGGTATATTTAGCAGACCAACTAAGTGCATTTTTGTGATGAGCAGGGTGTCTCTTCCAAAAATTGTGAAATTCATGGCCCCTAGCTCAAGGGTTCTGGTGTTAGGGCGGGGCTCTATTGATCATATGGTGAAATTGCAGTGAATTTTTGAAAATCTTCCTCTCTGATCTTAGGTATTTAGCAGACAAACCAAGTGTTTGGTTATGATGGGTGAGAGTGCCTCTTCGGAAATTGTGGAATATTCATGGCCATTGGGTAAGGGGTTCGTGAGTTAGGGTGGGGCTCTATTAATCGTATAGTGAAAATGCATTAATTTATTTAGCAGACAAACTAAGTGCATGGTTATGATGAGCAAAATTGTAAAATTCATGACCCCAAGTCCAAGGGTTTTGAGCACAGGCACTTGTTTCAGTAATTTAACAGTCAGATAGACTTGTAAATAATAGAAGAATAAAAATCAGACAAAAAAAAAAAAAAAAAGAATGATACATGAATATAATATCTAGTATTTTTAAAAAACCAAAAGAGGTCAATAGTATGAGGTTTATGCTGGGATTGCTATATGAATTCTGCATTTTATACTGAAGCACTATACATGTAGTGTGTAATAGAGTGTAGATAGCACTGGCATGTATCGGCAAGTTTCTGAGTTGTTGCATGATTACCAGACTAAGTATTTTAATGACCATAATTGTCCTCTTTCTCTTGTTTTTGAGCTTCAGTTTATTTTGTGTTAAGATTCCATGGATCCTTTACAGGGTTTTTATACTCAGGTGACCGTTAAGGCTCTTACTATTTAAATAACGTAATTAAAGCTAACCGATACACATTCTAACTGACATTGTTTAAAATAACATTTAGGATTTGGGGTGGGGGTGGGGCCATAGAATGCAGTTTTAAGTTTGAAGTGGAAATAGTAGCCAACCTTTAAATCATCCAAAGTATGATATGATTCCTTTGCTGTTAAGCATTCTTCTTCTATTTGTGTACGTGGAATCAATTTAAATTTTGTTCAATGTTAATTAATCTTGAAAAAATAGCGTAAACTCTTTACTTTCAAGGTCTACCGTAAGATCAAAAAAAAAATTAAGGGTAGTGGATTCGATCGTGTTAGTAGGAACATTTGCTTCAAATTCTTTTTTTTTAATTTCCTGTATTAATATTATTATTATTTATTTAAATTTTAGAGCCCTCCCCCCTCCCCTGGTAAAAAAGGTGGAAAGGTCTCAAATCATTGAGTTCACCGCAAATCTAAGTTTACTGAGAAAGGCTATCATTCTGTCGGCACATCGAGGCATGAGTATATTGACGATAAAGTTGAATGAAAGATTCTAATGAAAAGACTCCCTTTTAAAATTGTTTTTTTGACATAAAAACTCTAAAATATTGGACTACTGAAATACGAATATTCATAGAACAAGTTATCTTGCATTGTAAGTGCCCGGATGAAATTGTTTTCATTAGTTTCAAAATGGAAGACAATGCAACGAGTTTTTAAACTTTCTTTAAGAAGTAAGTTTTTTGTTGATTTTATTTGATTTATAGACATTTTTAAAGCCTCTCCAAAAATATTACAGGTACGCTTCCAAAAACGTGGAATATTTCTGGCTAACACAGTATAAACAAGTCTGTCATGATCATTTCAGAAGCAAAACAGGTGGGTGTTTAAAATTTCAACTTTATCGCTCAAAAAACACATTTTTTTCTGTATGTTTTACAGACTTATCGATATGAAAGGAAGCAGCATGGAGAATGGAGTTGATCACGAAGAATTCGAAAAATACACACCTAAAAACCCTCTCCCACACGAGATCCAAAAGATGAAACGAGACGAGACTGTGTGCAAATACTGTGGAGTCAGTTACTTGATTCATAATGAGATTAAAGCTCTTGAAGAGAAGCTGAAAAGCACAGAGGCTGAATTAGAAAAATTGAAAGGCTGTGAGGAGAGGGAGGGGCAACTGAAAGAGAGGATAGATAAACTAGAGGAGGAGAAAATAGATCTAAAGAGGAATCTTGAGGCCAAAGAAATTCTGTATGTAAATGTATGATCAAAGATGCTCAAAGTAACAAATATATTTTTTGTTGGGAAAAAAAAATATCAAAAGGAGATCAATGTTTGTGGACTGAAGAATAAATCAAGAAAATAATATAATATGTTTAATATATAGTGCTTGCTTGCCCAAATGTTGGTGTTAATCATGTTAATGTTACACCAAAGTGCAAAGTATTTATCTACATTTAACTCCATATTGCAATATTTGAGAAAGGGATTTAAAATTGTTGTTTAATTATTAAGGCAAAACAAAAATTAACTTCCAAGAAAAAAGTAGGGCTGGGATGATATTTGGAAATATTGATAACATTGATTCTGTGATATGAAGATACTTGAATCATGTGAAGAAATATCAAAATATTGCAACCACATTTTCAGACTTATTTTGTTAACTCAACATTTTCAAATTGGGTTTAATAAATAAAATAAATATAAACAATACAAAAGGAAAATTTTCTAATTAAAAATTATAGACTCCTTCACAATAACTGCGGTACTACTCTTTTGCAGGGCAAAATGATATATTTTCAATTGGTGAAATATGACATAAAAGCAATTGTTTAATATATGTCATTTAATTATCTATCAACAAAAACTTCGCCAAAAGTATTACTTTGCCCTGCAAAAGAGTAGTACTGCAATTATCGTGAAATGGAAAATTGTGATACGTACATCAAAATGGAAGAAAATGTATCCTCCCAGCCCTAGAAAATAGTATAGATTTGTTATCTTTAAAAAAATAACCACAACTAGATTTTATTTTACAGCATATCAACATTAAAAAACAACATAAAAAATGAAGAGGAATTAAAAGCAGAAAATAGACAACTGAAGGTCAAATTCGAGGCTGCAGTTAAGCTTAAAGAAGAATACAGGTAACAGAAAAAAAAAGATGTCAGGATTTAGTTTATTAGTTTAGAAAAGTCTTCACTTAATAAACATTTTTAAGTTACAATAACTTGTGTAAGGAATATTTCATGCAATGAAAAAAAGTCAGTCTGACTTAGACCCCCCCCCCCCCCCTCAAAAAACTGTATTGGTGCTCTGTATTGATGTATCATAGGGAAATTCCAGTTCAAATCATACTTTTCATATATATGGGTATGTTTATAAAGTAGATCAAATGTTGTCAACAATCTTTATATTTAAAGCTTACACTTAAATCTTATAAGAACGGTTTATTTGACTTTACATGTACCCCCTC